AGTGTGCTTGTACACACGCACACACATACACACGCATGAGCATCCAAACAGACAGTGTAGCAACAAAACAGAAGATGAGCCTGGCATGTGAAGGAGAGAGCAGCCCATAGAGCTACAGGACAGGGGCCGCCCTAAAAGACTCACTGTTTTTTGTCAGAGGAGGAGAAAATAACTTGATATTCACTCCATGCCACTCCTGTTTGTTTTCAGTCCCTAGGCAACACTGTTATTTCCTAATCAGGCAGCTGCAGAGAGTGTCTGTATGAGTCTCTCTCTCTCGCCCTCCCCCATTTCCATTTCTGTTTATTTCATGCCCCACCTCTCACTCATTCTTACTCATTCCCATTTGTCTGTTCCGTTTCGCCTCTCATTTTACTTCCCAGTTTCCCAATGTGGCTCCTCCCCCCCCTTGTTCCCTCGACACCTCCTCTGCTCATCCTCCAGTGCAGACGGGTCTGATTCACACGGCCAACGACAGGAAATCAAGGGAAACTACAGGAAAAAACAGAGACGTTTAAAAGGTGCGCGTCATAATGCACCTCCGGCTCACTTTCCTCTCATTTCCTCCTTCCGTCATTCCCGCCTTGGAGTGTTCCAGGCACCTGGACGATGGCGACTCATAGACCCGTGGGAATTACCCTGGAGTCCCGAAAGAACAGCCGTGTTTTGGCCAAAAAGACGGAAAGGGCAGGGGAAGGTGCGGCCGAGCCTGCTGATGGCGTGTGGAGTAATGTGCCTGAGTAATGTGCCGGAGTAATGTGCCTGGCCCGGATCACACGTCGCCCGGGATGAATAGGACGTGTGAACTGTAGTGGCAAACACGTCCTCACTTCTAAGCTGGATGCTGAGGAAGGAGCTGCCAGGCCAGCAGATGGGGGGGGGCTCCCCCAGGGTCTCACAAAAGGGCAAGCCGGCATGTGCTAGCACCATCCCGAAAAGCGCCCCCTAGTGTGAGGTTTGGGGGAAACAAGTTAAAGCCGTCTGCCAGGGATCTGATCTCAAAGGCTTTGCAGGGTTTCACAAAGGCTGTGAGGATGGGGCGTACCTGGCCGGCAAGGGTATAACTTTGGCTGGAACATTGGGGGGGTTGAGGTCTCCATCCATTATGGGGGAAACATGATTATTGGGGGGGTTGTATTAGCTGGTTTTGATTTATTGGGGGGGCTACAACCCCCCCATCCCCCCCATAATTTACGCCCATGCTGGCGGGGGCTGCTCCAAATGGCAGCTCGCTTTAGAATTAAAACAATTAAATAATTTCCCAGTTTGGATCAATAAAGCCCATCCATCTTTTCTTCATCCATCCTTCCATCATCCATCCATCCTTCCATCATCCATCCAAAAAGTGGAAAATAAAAACATCTTTACAGTATTCCCACAAAAAAAATCTACTTTTAAAACTTTTAAACCCAATAACTTAACTTCTTTGTGAACACCTTTTGTCTCCGAGTGGTGATGTCCCTTCTCCCATCCTCCTCATGTCCACCATCCCCCGGACGTCCTTGCCCGCCTCTGGCTGACCCCTCTCTGCATCGGGCCAGTGAGCCCCCCCACCTCCCCCGTCAGTGAGGGCACCTCCTCTCAAAGGGAACCAGGAACAGCTGGCCGGCCGTGCATGTTCAAGGCCGCTCCAACCTTTCTCCCTCTCCCCGTAGCATCTTGCCTGCACCCCCCCACCCCCCGCCCCACTAGCCCCCCAGCCCCAAATCCTCCCTCTTACTGAGCTGCCATATGGCATATCACTGCAAATCAGCACATTTTCCTTCTCCTTTCTTTCACACAAAGATAATTTGAGGAGAAAAAAGCACCGTAGCTCAGGACAGGGGGACACAAGCGGCTTGTCGTCGTGGCATTAGCATTAACATTAGCTCCGGTCTCATTTGCCGCCACAAAGTTTAAAAAGCACAGCTGATCCAGAGTTCACCGCGAACACCTGAATCTCGGCCTCTCTTCCTGCGGCAAGCCTTTCTTCCTTCGGGTAATGCTGTCTGTCCATGCAAGCACACCTGAGCCACATGTCTAAGGTCCTTAATGGCTTAAGAAGCCTTGCCTTGGCTGAGCTCGCTGCAGAAAGGAATGCTTTTCTTCTCATTGTTGTTTTTTGGTCGATGTCGCCTCCCTCTGAGGCTGAGTCCAGCTCTGGGGAGGCCTGTGTCCCCATTACTGAAACGTCAGTGCACTGAAAGAGAGAGATCTGAGGCGATGGTGCATTCCATGGCAGAGAACTTCTTCAGGGGCAACTTCAAAGGAATGATGAGTAAATCTGGCGAAGGACCAGCTCTGAGGCGCACACCCAAGCGCGAAGAGGGAAATTCAGCCAGCGTTTGTGCATGAACGTCTCACAATATACCTCAATAAGATAATTGTGCTTGAAACCCCAGAGCCCACAAATATATAATATATCACACAAGGTTGAAAACCCAGATAGATGAACCAAAGCAACAACAACAACTGAGACACTGAGGGCAGGCAGGGGAGTGTGTGCAGTGGTTTAACCAGAAGGACAGCAGCTCCTCTGATAGTCACAGGACTACATGAGAAGGCGTGGGTGGTATTACAGGATATCACGCTGAATTTTGGGTATATTTTAGCACATTTTATACATGATTATTGCCCCCCCCCCCCACGTTTGTCAATATCATACACTCTGGTATTATGTTCGGATGGTATGGCAGTATGAAAAATGAGATAGTGCCCAGACTATGCTTAAGTGTCTCTCAGCAGGAAAGAGGGACCACTCTGGAATCACATGAGAAAAGGCCAACAGGAGGCCTGTCCTTCACGGTTATGCATTCAGAAGCCAGTGCTAACAACTCTCTCCCTCTGGATCACGGAGATATGAGGGCAGATTAAGCCGACACGAGTTTCTTCCAAAATCACACACAGTTTTCAGCGTATTGCGATCAAACACCTCTGACAATGCAGCGTGGTTATTGCATTATCTGCTATATTGCGTCATGCAGAGGGACACACAAGGCTTTGTGTACACGGGCAGCACTGAGACCTCTCTAGCGAGTTAAAATGATCATTTAATAAATGGGATATGCATACGCAGATATATTAGCCATTACATGCTGCTCTATTCGTGCCGGATAATTTGTTATCCAAGGTCAAGTTAATAACAATCGAAAGCTGTCGGGTTTAGACAGCAGCAAGGGCAGCACAAAGGTTTAGATAGAATCAAATTAAATCCGTTTCCATGTAAAGGAGGGCGGGAACCAATGCTGGTAGTGGATGGTAAGTACATGAAGTGAGAGGGGTATTAATTTTTAAAGCGCCTACGAATGGCATTTACATAGTTAAGCCGCTGCCACTCATCCGGCGCTTACACCAAGTTTGGAAACGTGTCCGAGACATTTGAAGAAACAAAACCTTAAACTGCCGACTTTTCCAGTTGCCGGTTTAAGGATGATGTCGATTCAGGACAACATACTTCCCGTGGATCTGGGCCAGATTCCCACCTTTAAGTTTTGAGACCAAATTAAACTCGGACAAGTCTAGGTTATACATCTATTTCGAATACGTACTAAAAGTGGTTTTTGAAATGCCATCGCGAAGATTCAATACAACACACACGACCGATTAAAGGTTTAATTTCATCATGTAGACATTCCCTTAATTCGGGGTCTCAAACTGCAAACCTAGTAACAGCATGGAAGACTGGACCCGGGAACTGTCAGCCTTTCTGAAGAAAGCAAAACTCCCTTTGGTGAAAACCTGACGCCTGTGATAAGAATCCTGTTAAAACTGCCGCACACTCAGCAGTTGGATATAACTTGGTTCCTTGCAATACATCTTATTTCGCAGCATTTCTCAACCCTTTGTTAATAAAATTCCTCGTTAAGCCACCATTCCTGAAATTAATTTCTGAGGTAGCCTCAAGTGTGCGTTTATTAGTTATGTGAAGCCGTTTTACTTAATGGGTGATGAGGCTACATGAGCTCTCTACCATCTCGTTAATCCCATTATTCATCCTGGCAGTCATCTTTAATCCTAGATACAGCAGACCGTTTTCTATTTCCTGGTGTCAATTTGACTTCGATCCCAGTCAATCTAATCCATCTCTCTCAGGTGCGCATTCGTGTAAAAGCGTGGCTCTGTTGTCGGTAATATATCATTATCATCAAGCGCGGAGCAACTAGATTTTTCTGGCTCTTTTGTTACGGCGATGGCCAGGAGGGAGCCCATTCACTGTGCTGAAAATGGCTTTAACTCCCCCAATAAGCTCGGCCAACCACATGCTGATCGCCCTGGTTTCTTTCTCTTAAAAAAAAAAAACAACACAGGGACAGGTCGTTTAAACGGCGCGTTTAGGAAAACAGACTACATGTAACAAAGATTGTTTTGCAGACTACTGAACAGGACCCAAAGTGCGAATAAAGTAAGAAGAGACACAGGAAGCGGGTACGTGCGACGCTTTCGGACAAGAAATGACTGAAAATGTCTGCAAAGTTTAAATTGTGGGTAGATGGGAATAAGCACGAAGCTTACGCCGATTGAGTACAGTCCCAGTACCTGCCAGTATAACACTGGGAATAAACGCGATGGTGTAAGCGCACCGAAATGTGCGGTCAAAGCAGTGAAAATCCTCAGCGGGACGCTTTTCTTTCATTCATTCATTCATTCATTCATTATTTTTACTTATTATTATTCTTGTGTCTTTGTATAATACAGTGTATAATACAGGAACGGCGAGACGGCTTGTTTCCCGTGAAAAGACTTTAACCGGCGACATAGTGACACATGGAGTTTGATTGTCCTCGTAAGAAGTTCAGTCTTAATGTCAATACGCGCATAAATGGTGACTCGTTGCTTTGGTAAGAAACATAATCTCAATTTATCTTGAAAGATGGACTTAAACCCCCTGTAGGGTGCCATGTTCCCGAGCATTCTGGCGGGCACGCTACGTAATTATTTTGCAACAATAATTAACGCTGGCAGCCCACCCTTCCCAAATTAGCTCCAGTTGTAGGCGACAATTTGAAAAGCGATGAACTTACCAGAGGCTCCATGCGAGGTGCGTCTACCCGCTGGGTCACCAAGAGCATCTTGGAGCAGTTGTGGTCAACGCGACCTCTTTTAAATCCACTTTTGGTTCAATCCGCGAAATATCCACAATACAAAGAAATCTGGTCGATTTTAAGGTGAAAAGTGTCAGGGATTACAGACCAAACAAATCACACCCCGCGGAGTGTAGTGAAAAGGAGTCCAACGGGAGAATAAAAACACCGTACTTGAACGTCGGGTATGAGAAGGCAGACAAGTTCACCTCGGCTGGATCTGCATCGCCCTTATGATGAACATTCCCAGTTACAATGTCTGTCCCCACGCCGCACTGCCTTCCTCTGGCTTCCTGACTCCGGGGGCGGAGGAAGCGCTGCAATAGGACGGCGCCTTATACGATGTCATGAAGGAGGAGGCACGTTTTTACAGTATTTAATTATACTACACAACACTCGCTTAAAGGGACACTCGGCTACTCGAGGACCGATTACAATTCAAGGGCCCAGTGAACTATAGCAGAGGTGTGCCCTGCTTTAAAAGTACTAAACTAAACATGTATAACAGGGCCACTGCAATCCTGGGTAATAGACCTCAATGTACTGTAACGCTATAATGATTGTATTGTTACCCTAAACGATGAAATAGCGCAAAAAGCTTGTACACAAATCGGAAGTATTTTTGCTAACAACCTATGCAGATACAGGCTATAAAATAATTTTGTGTTTGTAATCGTATCTTTAATGTTAGCTTTATTTTTACATTTTACATAGGCTATATATAAAAATCTAATTATTAATAATTATTCGTCTATAGTAGTAGTAATAATAATAATAATTGTTATTATTATTTTAGAGATGAGTTGTTGTGTCTTGATAGTGTTTTCCAGGCAGATGTGCAAGCGCGCGCTGGTTCCGGCGAAGGGCGGCTCATCTTGCGCGTGGCAGGAATGCAACTTCGGTGCCAAATCACCCTCACGAGCGGCGTGCGCTGCCTTCCTACACTATGCAGCCTCTTGGCTCTGTGTGGCAAGGTTAGCCGTTTTGGCTTTATTGCCGAAAGGCATTCCTGGTCCTTAGTTTCACAATGTAGATAACCCTCTGTTGAAATGCCTGCTTCTAGTAGAGTCCAGGTCCAGAATAATGGTTTGCAATGTTCTAAAACAGGCTAGGCCTATCTGAAATCCCTTTGGAGCCTGTTTTACGCGACTTCTAGACATGCTTATTATGGAAGCGTAGACGATCCAGAGTGACATAAATAATGTTTCACAAAAATGAGTCTATGGACATTCCTGCAGGGTACTGCCTACGTGGTGTTTTTTGTCCCAGCTGAATCCATTATTTAGTAGGCTTTAATTAATTTTAATTTAATTTCTGTCCTGATTTTACCTTTCTTACCAATGAATATTTTGACAGTTTTTGCCAGCTGAAAATGAAATAATTTGTTTGATATTTAAAAGAAAAACAGCATGTAAATGATTATTAAAAGCTTAGTTAATTACATAGATTACTGTGACACTTTTGAAAAGTACAAAGGCTTTAGAAAAAATTAGAAATCCATCATCCCGCTGCTTATGAACTGCTCTACTGAAATTCCAAGGCTATTGTGCAACAACAGTATAATATTAACAATAAAACAACAACAACAATAATAATAATAATAATCATGCTTGAGTGTACTCATATTTAACTTCCAGCCTCACTCATCGTGTTTCAGGCCTCATGGGGGCGCTGCAGCTCAGGCAGCCCATCCTGCATGTAAGTCATACACCAGCTGAGCTCACCAAAATGCTCAGGAGGGACCTAAGAGAGCCTGCAGCTGCTGCCTCCTTCCAGACCAGCAGTCAGTCCGGATCAGTGTCGCCCTGACACGTCAGCACGGAGCGTCCTCCCTGCAACAGGGTTTTCTGCTGGCACAGCAGATGGGGGGGGTGGTCCACAATGAAGAGGCACGGGGCTTTTGGCAGTCGTGCAGAGGCACAGCTCTCATGCCAGAGCCGTGGCCAGCGGCGGTGACACCACCATCGATGCCAGACCCATCACCACGCCTGGAGTCACACTGACTCATGTTACAGTGGAATCATGCACACACACACACACATACATACACACACACACATACATACACACACATACACACACACATACATACACACACACACATACAT